GGAAATAAAGTTAAAAAAGACCTGATTCGATCAGAGCCACAGAGGGGAGATACTGCTTGAATTCTAGCGAAAGCACAAACAGATTAGCAAAGACTTAGGGGGTGTTTGGCACGCCAATATTTGTAAGGTTTGTAGTGTTTGGTAGCGAGTGGTTTGAAAGGTAGAATTCGCGAACCTTATAAAATACAGTTTGAAAAGGCAGTGCAACGTAGGGTTTAAGAAACCACGGGACTGTTTTTACCACATATATTATCCTCTTGTTTTTAGGCTGCGAGCCCAAAAAGCCACTTTTTTTCTTCTACCTTATGAAAGATCCTTAAGGTTTGGCAATGCATACCTCACAAACTGCAGTTTGGCATACCTTACAAACGTTGGCGTACCAAACACCCCCTTATTTGTGATCCGAGAGAACTCGGTTGTGATAGATGATATTGACCCCTTCCATTGACGATGATGTGACAAATCGATGGTTGCTGTGGACCACGCAAACCAGGTAGATACATAAGACTGAAAGCTGATCACAACACAAGCGAAAGCCTGCGCCCAACATATCCTAATGACCTAACCGAACCTATAACCGTATTCCATACTGCACACGGGTATCCCGTCGTACGTTTTCAAGCACTCAGATCAATAGCTATTAATGAGGCTGCGGCAAAACAAAATCAGAAAATGAAGAATGAGATTCCGGGGTTTTTATTGGACCGTTCAATGGCTCGAGCCAATTGGGCAACTGTGTGTTTCTGACTACAGTTTTCCCTTTTTTTTATTTTTTACCGCAGGCTCTACCATCTGACATGATTCTAGAGCACACACCAGTTCTTCCTTGAGCTCTGCAATACTTTATCTCACCACCCCCACTACATCTACCACTATTCTAAGAGCTCTTTAGCCACACACGCATTGGGAATTTCTCAACTTCTCACCCATACCTGTTCTCAAGGCACTATCACGATTACGCTTACGACTATCACTGGCACCAACGATGTCTCTAGAGTGCTTTCTCCCTCGGGATGTCTCTTTTTATGATATTACCCCAGTGAACCCAAGGGGCCAGTCCGTCCAGCTTTGTGTGCAGCCGGACTGACCCGGGCTTTTTCAGGGACGGCCGGGCTAGACTGTGGGAAAGCCGCTTCTCAAAACAAAAGTCGGGCCCGGCCTAGGTCACCTGCAGGCCAAGGTTTCAAGTGGTAACTTGTCTCTCATTACTAAGAGCTTATTCAAGTTATTCAACAGGACTAATCGTTTATAGCACTATTTCTGTAACACTTCAAGCATTGCCTCTAGACGATCTAATTTCACTGTATCTGGTGATTTGCCTCAGTATCTGGAGGCTTTGCCTGGGCATCTGATGGCTTTACCTAGGCATCTGGCGGCTTTGACTTGGGTTGCTTCAAGATTCGACCTGGCGGTTGCCTGGGCGCCGCCGGGCTTGGGCGGCTGCTGATAACTTCGACCGGACTGACCCAGGCTTTTCAAAACCATCGCCGGACTGGCCGGACTGGCCGCTTGTGATCACTGTATTACCCTTCCTGGCGTGGCTCTGATTATGGGCGATGGCTCACAGACATCGACGATGCCACTGGGTCTTCGAAGATCAACTCATCTCAAAACGGCCTTCTTCTCCAGTCAACTGTCCACCAAATATTCGATCAATACCGGATTAACTCATCTAATCTACTATCTCCGTCAGATCTCTAACCTCCGCCAATCCCCGCATCAGCCCACGATAGAATTAGTTTGACTGGTTAACAGGATTGCGAATACCAGTTAATGAGATCCAACACACTCAGCACACTCAGGCTTTGCCACGTAAGGAAAACATTGATCCCTCTCTGGAGTTTTTGTCTCGGAATCCCGTGATTAGAGGCCTGGCGGAGATAGTGGATTATACCAGTTAATACGGTACCTCATCTGCGTTAATCCGGACGATAGTTACAAGGTAGTTGTGTTTACCATCGATCTTTTTAGATATGATGATACAATTCTCGATCCCGTGTGCCGCAACCCAGACGATCCCCACCGTCCGACCAACTTCTTAGATAGCATTTCTGCCAATCAGTTCTCGCGAATATGAGAGGAGTAGGGGAACCGAGCTTCACGCATCACTCCTCACTGAGGACCGATATTGTCGGTGAGATCCTTGCCGGTCCGTATTCACAAGAGAGATTCGAGTTGGAGATAGCTGCTGGGTTGAGAGAGATTTCTTAAGAGCAACCGTTTCGCTCCCAGTGAGGTTTTGCAGCTGTCGATTTAATGACACTAGCTACGCAATCACTACATTTTTCGGAGGCCTGGTAGGATTGCAACAGAGATTTTGCAAGTGAAAAAGCGTCGTGAAGGGGAATATTAACTAGATCGGCTAATAAAATATATCACTCGGTGGGGGGTTTCCCCTGTTTTATCTTCTTTCTTTACACTCATCTTTAGGCCAGTTATTGTCATGTGGCTGGGGTGGTTGCTGTATAGGCCGGTAAGGGAAGAAAAAGGATTGTTCATAGTTCAGCTATCTTGGAGGGGTATGACCGTACGATCTTGGTGGCAAAAGAAACTAACCTTCTACTACCAGTCAGCACATTTTCCCATATAAAATACGCATTTCCATCACGCCAGGAATGGTCACCACAAAGATGACAAACGATCTTAAAAATAATGGAAAATTTGAGGTGAAGGAGGAAAACCAAAATATTCATATAGTCAAAGACTGTAATGTATTCCGCAGCATAGCAAGCCATCCACCCAAATACTAGTTATCACTGAACCATCCCATAGCCACACCAAAGCTAGCATGAGCTCCCCGTGATAAAAGGCATTCAGTTAAACCCTTTTCGGATCTCCACGGAGACAGTGACTATGTCCTCCCAGTTATGATGATCTACGCCCCGCATCTCCTGACTCAACCCATTGAATAAGGATGTTTGTTGCTGCCGATAATCTCGCCGATACCGGATCACTATCATTATCGGTTGGCGCAGTGGTGATGGTCATTGTGTATGCGCAGTTTCATTTCAGACTGAGTATGGAAGACCGGAGAGCAAAAAGAGCAGGTTGTAGAGTGCGGGGGTGGTCCAATGTGTCGTGGCGATGTGCGATAGGCACCAAACTGCCACCATACAGTATCCTAACCTCGCCGTTGCCGCCCATGACCTTCGTTGAGGTGATGAGTTCAGGTGTTTCCATTCCCGGTAGTCTACAGACAAAAGGTAGTCCCCTGTATAACCATCAGTAACTGAGATCGGAGCACCCTGAAGGGTCTTTGGCGTCAAGGATAATCTGCCATTCTCGAACAGAGTGTCTATGGAATTGTCTAGAGCAACGAGATTCTCACGACAGTTGATATTCCCTGCTACCGCTGCGAAAATTGTGTCGGTACATTCTGTCCCATAGAACATCTCGAGCATCTTCCAGAAGTCTAAAGTACGACAGCCATGGTTCTTTACTAGGGCATATGGAATTACGTGTGCAACCTTTATGCTGAATCCATCAAACATCTCACGGCCTGTTATGATGCATGCATATTGACCGTGCTCTAGGTGGTCTGTTCCCCTTGCTTGACTGGAAGGAATGGATCGCATGGGAGCGGTGGCTCCAGATGACGAACGAGGCGTGGTGGTCGCAGACGGATTTCTAAGTGTGGGGAAGTTTCCTAGGGCAGACTTGATATTGTTCAGTCGTGTGGTCCATATGGCAACACGTTCATCGCGTTCAGCAGTATTGGACGGGGGAGGGTCGAGCAGCTCCTGTTGGAGATCAGGAACCATGTGAAAGAACGAATGGTTTAGAATGCGTCCGAGATCTATACTAGTGTGAGCTAGTAAATGCATATGCTGGCTGACGGATATCATGTTGCTATCGATAGAGGGTGGAATAGGCTCAGGTTGATGATTAGCTGGAATAGAATAAGGGGGGTGGAGGGGGGAGGTTTGCAGGATGTTCTCGTTTTATTATATACAAGCCCGGGTGTAGGCATAAATGTTCTGTCAGCTACCCACAAATTACAGTTTGCGCCAAGACAGAAAGGTGAGGGAGTGGATGGGGGGTAAGTTAGGTACTCACGGTGCCGGTTTGCTCGGCCAGTCCCTATTGGTATCACTCATTCACGGGCGTTTTAGCCAATAAAATGGGTCGAATAACCACAGTTGCAGCAACAGTGAAATGGTAAAGGACACCTTTAAACTAGACTGTAACACCAGCTACCAATATTCTATGTGCATGAAACGAGGAAGCATTAAAACTTAGCCCTGCACGCTAATTTACCCTCACCAAACCCAGGCATTACAGAAATGTACCCACTCAGGTACACGTTTTAAACGCTTTGTACCATAGAAAACAAAGGTGTGGCTTCAAAGCCCAGAAAAATTAAATAAAAGAGTTGTCGGTACCATGAATCGAACATGGGTCTCATCGGAAGTTGTGTTTCCACAACGAGGCGCACTAATCACCTTACTACCAGAGACCAATAACTGACTTTATGTTGAAGTCACTTATACTAGCATGAGATAACACTTTAGAAGGAGCAATCCGCTGACCTCTACGACAGCGGCAACGGACATCCTAACCATCTCAAATCCTGGAGTTGTTTCTATCCCGATTACTCGAATAGGCTAGTATTCCAGATTTTAAACTGGGCTGGAAAGTCTCAGCGGTTTAAGGGATAGCCTACGGTACCGTAAGAACTCGAATAATTGGACCTCGCGCTAGGACGTTGGAGTTGCCTTTGCAGGCAAGGTCTGGCACTTTTTTGTTTTTTTCTGTCTTAAGCTGGGGCTGAGGGGGTCAATTTTTGCAGTGTTTTTCCCCCCCTATCCAGGAGAGGGAATTTTGGACGTCCTAGCGCGAGGTCCAATTATTCGAGTTCTTACGGTAGTGGTGAAGGTTGAATCTTGATGACTAAGTGCCAATGCTTTACGGAATCGCAAATCCTTGCCGGGTGACCATAACTGTCAGTCATTAAGATGCACTAAGCTAAGAACTTCAAAACTTGACACCATAGCAAGCAAGTCGGTGTAGTATAGTGGTTAGTACGCCTCGTTGTGGAAACACAACTTCCGATGAGACCCATGTTCGATTCATGGTACCGACAGTTTTCAGTCTAATTTTTTTTTTGGCACGTCCTTGCGCAGAACCAGCAGATCCCCGCAACTTTATTTTTCTACCCCCGGTTCTGGGTTGTTCAGTTTTCAACCGCAAACTTAAGCTACTTGTATCGTTGCGGAGATACCAAAACTCATTTTACCGTGCTTTAGCAGCAGCCAACTTGACTTCGGACAAAATTTACAGGCGCACAATAAGTTAAGTCACCGTAGTATGCTTTCGTGGGGGAGGTGGAAGTATAAAAGGTAACGAAATTGGCATCGTGCCTGAATCACTGTTTTACTAGAGTACAGCAAAAAAAAAACAGATCTCCGTTCTAGCAAAGGATCCCGAGTGAGCCGAGACCGATATTACCTCAAAAGAACTACTGTAGCAGTCTACTCGGGTGTCTGTAAAAATCGGAAAACTATGTCTGTCGATCCCCCACAAATCCCTATGGAGACAAGGGTTATGTTTTCCGATTTTTACAGACACACCCGAGCAACTACAGCAGCGATCCGGAAAAGAAAAAAAAAACTCTCAATGAATAAAAAAGTAGGCAAAAGGGAAAGATCCCGACAGCAAGTTTCTTCACCGTGCAATTAGATGCGTACAGCCCAGGTAAATGGAGTTGTGATCAACTTTATCTGGGTATCATAGGTATTTTGGTATCTAGGTACAGTACACAGCCAACCGAACCATCGGTGGGATCATCTGAGGAAAGCGAAACACAAGGAAGTTCACAGGAGAGTAAACATAACGGAAAGAAAACAAGATCCCGCGATGATACACCAATTCACTACTTCCGCAGTCAAAAGAAACAGACGAGAGTAAATTACCGCACCTACACGACCAAGGTAGAATGAAAGAAAGCAATCAACAAGGGAAAATAACGTCCTCCTACTCCAACATTGAATGTCCAGCATTACAGTTCCTTCAACTTCCCAACGCCCAACTGCATCCTCTGCAGCTTTAGCATGGCAAATGCCACGATCCTGTAAATTACCGTGACAGCTGCAAGCACGACGAGGTTCCATTTCGGATCCACGTCTAGGCCGTACAACTGCAACGCTTGCTTTCCCGTGTCGATTGGGCAATTCCCGCTGGGCAGGCGCTGGGACTGCGTACACGTGAAGACGACGCCATCGAGGGAGTATGGTGTCAAGCTGCGGGTAGCGTATTTTAGGGGGCTGAGGTAGTTGAAAGCTTCCAGGGGCGCTGGAACGTCGATGCTCATTATCCCGCTCATAAAGACCGCTATGCAAAGGATTGTGCTCGTCACGTTCACGCTGAACCCTGTGTGGCGGAAGAGCGTGTTGAAGAAGATTCCCAGTGACTCGCCGCAGGAAACAATGCAGAAGGTGTTGTAGGTCATTACGTAGAACATTATTATTGTGCGTGGGAGGCCGACGGCGAACACGGCGAGGGCGGCGAAGAGATGGGCTGTTAGAATGGCGGAGGGGAGCTCGTTCGTCAAGTAGGCCAGAAAGAAGGCTGTCACGCCGTAAGTCCTGTCATCGTGCTCTCTATAGAATACATCTCGTTCGAGGGGGTAGAGAGCCACGTTTTGCAACATTCCTATTATCACTCTTAGCCGGGGTATGCGAAAAATAATAAGATATCTCACCAACAAAGTATACAGGCAAGATCTGTTGTATGAAACCAAGTCTGTTCTGGACACTGATGTAATCGTTCCCCAAGGGTGCAAAGTACAAGGTAACAACGATGCCCAATCCAATGACTTGCATGATTCTGGCAATCACCAGCATCGGCTGTCTTCTCAGGTTAAGAAGGCCCCTGCTCACCAATATGGGGTAAGCAACCATAAATGACGCCTTCTCTCTCTTCATGCTGCCCAGCTCAGCCGGCAATGCAATCTTCCTCTCTGATTCCTTAGAATCGAGTGCTTCCTTGTGGTCGAACCTACCAATCAGCCTTTCAACAACCACTCGGGTAGCCGCTTCGCGGTCCGGCTGTTGAAGATCAACGGTGACAAGATCCAAAGCAAAATCAGCAGGGTTGGTCGTGGCGGGGCATTCGTGAGATAGTGACGAGAAGTATGGGAGCATCTGGTTAGCACGGCCAGAGTATACGACATGTCCACCACGGGCAAGTAATATAACGTTGCCGAATTCTTTGAACAGATCCGAACGACTCTGATGGATGGTCGAGATGATGGTTCGGCCTTCCTCGGCCAACCCTTTGAGCACGCCCAATATCGATGCGGCGGTAAAGGCATCCAGGCCCGATGTCGGTTCATCCAATAGCAGAATCCTCGGTTCCATCAAGATCTGGACGGCAATCGTAACCCTTCTCTTCTCACCGCCAGATATTCCCTTCAGAAACTCACTCCCGATGAGATTGTCTGCACAATCCCTCAATCCCATCTTCAGAATCACATCATCTGCACGTCGTTTCTTCTCCGACTTGCTCATCGAGCTCGGGAGGCGGAGTTGGGCTGCGTAATAAAGTGTCTCACGCACTGTCAAAGACGGCAGCAATGCATCGTCATCTTGAGTGACATAGGAGCAAAGTGATTTGATCACTGTATCCGAAGGCAGGGCACCATTGAAAAACATTTTTCCGGAGGACTTATAACGGGTAGAAGCAGAGCTGTGAAGACGGCGCGCCATGAGATTAAGGAGTGAACTCTATAAACCATTAGCAATCAACAACTTGCAAAGTAAACAAGTGAATACCTTGCCGCTCCCCGAAGGACCCATTATAACGTTCAATTTCCCAGGCTCAAAACGAGTGCTAACACCCTTTAATATTTCCAAATCCAACCCCTTTTTCCCAATGATCTTGATTTCTGGTTTCTCGACCTTCAGTCGAATATTATCAAGAACAACTTCTATATCGCGAGTATCTCTGGTCCCGGCTTTAGTAACTCCCATCTTTTCCTTTCCCGCACTCGTATCCTTCTCATCTCGTGGTCTCGCACTGGAAATTGAAATATCCACCGGCTTGAACTTGAAAAACAATCCCGCAACGAGATAGTACAAGAGCACCCAGCAAACATTTATCACTACAGGCACCTTAATCCAATCTCTGGAGAAATCTAAGGATTCGAGGACAAAATTTCCGACATACTCCAAACAACCACGATTCGCAGGGGATGCATCCGGGAGTGGGCAAGCAAAGAACTTATCGGTGAATTCGTTTGAAGAGAGTGCGCCAAATGAATACCAAGCGTAAGAGATGTACTTTGTCCACCTAACATATACAGGCATAGTCGCAGCCTGAACAAAGTACCCACATGCCATGCTCTGCATGGTGAACCAAAGATTAGCAACGAGCACCGCCTGCGAAAAATCCCGGCTAACCCCAACACAAACGGTAGCGAATGTAACTGCCAGATATTGTGCAATCAATACGACCGCAAAGAAGGTGAAGAATTGCTTAGCATCCGAATCAAACCCACACATAAAATAAAAGATCACCGAAAAGAAAAGCGGTACCGAGATATCTTCGGGAAGTCTAGAAATTCGGCGGCTCGTAAGAAAACCAAGTACACCTACAACCCCTTCACCCCGTTCACGATCAAAAAGCTTGACATCGATTTCGGAAAGACGGTAGGTTTCGAAGAGAAGAATAAGGTAGCTCTGAAGGGATGCCGCAATATAGAGAGCGCCCTGACGGGATCTGATGCCGGAAAGCGAATGATCAAGGTGATAAAATATCCACCCTGCCACAATGGCCATACTGATTGCTTCCCCGAGAGTTCCTGCAATGCCTAACGGATCACGGTAGGTGGTCTTGAGAGAGCGCCGAGTGAGAACCGATATCTGCCTGGAGAGGGAAGGTGTGATTATGATGACCGATGTAGCAGTGTTGCCAGCTTGCTCGTTCTCTCTATCCTTCCTGTGCTTCTCGGCGGCAGCGGTATTTTTCCTACTCAGCACACTGCTCTCCTCCTCCCGCCAGCTATCAACAAGGCCCCCGATTCGGACGATACTAGCTTCCTCTGCCTCGGGAGTTCTGAAGTCTATAGCGGATAAATCGATGAGGAAATCGGCCGGATTAACGTGTTCGGGAAAGGGGTAACCAAGGGAAGCAAAATATGAAAGCACATCATCCCTTTTTCCACCATACATGGGCTTTCCCTTCGTCAGCAACGTAATTCTATCAAACAAGCCCCATATCTCTGAGCGAGGTTGGTGTATTGTGGTAATAACAGTCCTCCCCTTTCTTGCAAGGTTCTTCAGCGTACGAACTACCTGGTAGGCGCTTGTAGCATCCAAACCGGTGGTAGGCTCGTCGAGAAACAGCACGCTGGGATTGGAGAGTAATTGTACACCAATGGAAACTCGTCTTTTTTCTCCTCCCGAGCACCCTTTATGTTCATTATTCCCTATCCTTGTATCTGCACATTCCTTTAATCCCAGCTGTAGAATCACCTCCTCCACAATTTTAGCCCGCTCCTCTTGAGTGAAGTTTTCGGGTAGACGAAGTTCGGCCGAATACATCAGAGTCTCGCGCACAGTTAAAGTGGGGAGTAAAACGTCTTGCTGCATAACGTAGGCGTATCGGGGATTTGAATTGTTGAATGTAGTCGTGCCAGTAATGTGTAAATTGCTCCCTGTCATACGGCTTGACATAGCGTTCAACATGGATGTCTAACAGGGAACTGTCAGTAAAGTGTTGACAAAGTTTAAATCAAAATTGATTATACTATACCTTACCACTTCCACTACCTCCGATAATGGCAACAAGTTCTCCTGCAGGCATGTCTGCGGAAATGTTATCGAGGATCTTGACTTCCTCTACACTTCCAGCCTCCTCATCATTAGCACCCTTTTTGGATAGCAACCCTCCCACCCAGCCCATGGCTTTGTGCTGGCTAACAGCAATGGTCAAGTTCCGGACGGCCACATCGACTGCATGAACTTCATGAAAAGAAATGTGAGTTTCATGCTCCTGTCCCGATGCCGTTTCTGAATCGGAATCGAGATGCTTTCTACTCGGTTCATCTTCAACAACACCGATGGTGAGCTCGGAATCCTGACT